TTGTCGCACCGCCTGCTGAGTCCCTCACGCCGGTTCAGTCCATCGCGTAGCGTTGGCGAATATGACACACGCAGCACATCCCAATGTCCCGATGCGCCTGTCGATGTTGATCCGGATCTGGTGCGAAAGGGCGTGCGCAATCTGATGCATCAAGTGGCGCAGCTGGAGCGCGAGAAGGACGACTACAAGTCCCAGTTGGGTGCGGCCAAGAAACAGCTCCAAGATGCCGCCGATCAGCAGATGCGCTGCGACGCCAAGATGGGCAAGCTGCAGGGCATGCTACGCAACCTGCAGGAGGAGAAGAGCAATCTGGAAACGGATCGTAAGATGAAAATGTCAGCTATAAACGCGCTCGAGGAGAAGCTGAAGCAGCGCACCGATGAGTGCCAGATGCTGCGCGAGCGGATTGCCCAAACCGAGATGCAGCTGGCCGCCACATCTGAGGATAATGCCCAAAACGAGGATCGCCTGGAAAAGAGTCGTCAGGTGTGCGCCAAGCTGGAGAACGAGAAACGCGTGCTGCAGGAGGAGCTGGCCAAGGTGGAGGGACGCGCCAGTAAGCTCGACTTGCAGCGTGTCGCTATGGAAGGGGATCTAACGAGGCTGCAGATGGCGCTTCAGGAGAAGGACTGCAATATAAGACAGGTGTCCGAACGGCTGGACAACCAAAATCGTGCAATGGTCCAACTGGAAGATCGCTGCACCTCGCTGAAGACCACTGTGGATCAGCTCAAGGAGCGGCTCCAAAAGAGCGCTGTCACCGAGACGCAACTGCGCGGTGAGATTAAGACGCTGCAGAAGGAGCTCTCCGAGCAGGGCCATTGCTCGCAGGCCAACGAGGATAAGGTTAAGCTGCTCCAGAAATCACTGCAAACGACGGAGAACGAGAAGCGCATATTGACGGAGCGCCTGGACAGCGCCCAGACCAATCTAAACGAGCTGCGACGTAGCCAGCAAGCGCAGCTCGATGGCAACCAGCGGCTCCAGGAGCAGGTTACGGAACTCGAGGTGCAGCGCTCGGCGCTTGAGTCACAGCTGCGCATTGCAAAGTGGAATCAGGAGAATGGCGACAAGGACGCCGGCAATGGCGGTGGCGGCGGTGGCAGTCGCGAGGAGGAGGAACTGAGTCGCCAGCTGAAATCGTCGCAGCGAGAGAAGTCCGAGCTGCGCAGCAAGCTGCAAGCACTGCAGGACAAGGTGAAGCAGCTGGAGTGCGACAGGAAGAGCAAATTCGCTGGTGGCAACGCCTACGATCGGGCTGAGAAATCCAGCTCCTATTATGGAGGCGGTGGCGATGCCGGAGAATATGATTCCAATCGTTATGATGGCGGCACTGGAGGCTCCTATAGCTGTGGCCTGGACCACAGCGCCATTGAGCAGGAAACGCGTGACTTGCGCTTGAAGGTGCGTCGCCTGGAGACGTTGCTGGCGGAAAAGGAGTCCGAGCTGGCACGCTGCAAGGCACGCATGCATGACAGCTCCAAGTGCATGGATGGCATGGACGTGGATCGCTATCGCAGCGCCCAAATGCATGCCGAGAAGCTGCTAGATGCTCGCGAGCAGTCCCACAAACAACAGGTGCTACGCCTCGAGAACCAGGTGAGCCTATGTCCAGTACACTGAGGGGAACCGATTTTCAACTCCATTCCTATCTCTCTTCTCGAACAGATCTCAATGCTGCGGGAACAGCTGGCTCAAGAGGCTAAGCGGCGACAGCAATACATTCTGCGCAGCTCCAAAGCTACTCGAGAGATGCAACATTTACGCAGCACTTTAGGTGATTCTCTGCGCAATGTCTCCCAGCATCCAGTGGATGCCCATTTGTTGGAAAGCGAAAGCAGGCGGTGGGTAGCAATATATAAATTCCGTCCATCAATAGGAATCTAATTGAATCTATTTGCTCTTCCAGCTTGGACTCTGCAGTGTCCATGAGCCTGCCACCGTCGACGTGCCGTGACTACGATCGTGATTAATGGATTGTGCAATCGCGTTGCCATCTGGTAAATTGATCCCGCCAAGACGTAACGTTCACTGCCAGCGTGCGGCAAAGTACGTGCATTTATTTTGAGGCAAACGCTTTAGACTACTAAAGACATCGTAATCAAATAATATTTAGTTCACCAGCATCAGCATTCATAAATCTTGAAGTGCTTCAAGTACAATTCTAGCTGTTCATTGTCTGCCTTGTAGACGATCGAATATAGTGCGTTCCATTATCTCGCATCCTGAATTGGATATTCATTTATGACACACAAAAACAAAAATACATATTTTACAATATTCTGCATTAAAGGGTCACAAGTTCCGCATCTCCTCGAAAGGCAGGAGAGCAAAGAACTGCATATTTATCATATATGAGCTATAAACCGATCACATAATAATTTCATTACTAACATTGACATGGACACATAGACGGCACAACAACACATTTAACTCTTAGCATACATACAAATATATATGTATAAATATATATTCGAAATACAGTATGTGTTCAACAACTTACATCATATTTTATAAACTATATACATAAAATAAACACGTCCAGTAACACAATAAATAAGAGCGTTTCCTTTATTTTTTTAAAAGTCTCTCCAAGCACTCAACCACGACTTTCATATTCGCCTTTTGTGCCGAGAGCTTCGCAACTTCGCCAACAATGGCATAAATGGCTTTCGATTTTCCCTTTTGGTATTGCTGCACAGTTTTTGGCTGATTTGCGATCGCCTCACGGCAATAAGCCTCAATGGTGTTCAGGTCGGAAATCTGTTCCAAGTTGTGTTCTGTAATCAGCTGCAAAGTGGAGTAAAAGAATATATATTTTAAGCTTTGAATGGTGGAATTTATAAGCTTTCTCACCTGGCTGACGTCGGCCGCTGAATTCGTGTGTAAAAGGGGAATAAGTTGGCGAGCTGCTTGCAAATTAATTTGCTCAGAGTGTAACGCCTTCAATACATCCCTCAAGGCATTGGCACTGATGGCACTGCAATGGAAATCGGAAACATTTTGTATGAATGGAAAGCATACGCATAAACATATAGTACATACCAATCAGCTATGTCCAAACTGAGCTTGTTGCAGTACGATAGCAAATCGTTAATAAGGAAATTTGTAACCACTTTGGTTGGCATATCTGGTAGACTCTTGGTAATGCTTTCAAAATGTTCCAGCAAGATGGGCTCGTTCTAAGAGAATCGACATCAATACAAATTGTTGTTAAAAGCACTTGCTATTCAGTTCATAAAGCTTACCACCAAAATGATGGCTGTCTCTGCATTCAGTTTGTAATGTTCCACAAGACGTTGGCGCGTATGTTCAGGCAATTCTGGTATTTCCTCGCTTAGCGCAGCTACTGATATCAGGTCTTCAGTTGACCTAGAACCCGGCTTGAGATTGACATGTAACGGTGGCAAATTGGGTTCCGGCATAAATCGATAATCCTGCAGCACTTCTTTATCACGCATGGCGATGGTCCGTCTTTTGTCCGCATCCCATGAACGGGTTTCATTTGTCACAACGCCACCATCGGCAACAAGCTCCATCTGGCGATTTATTTCATACGATATTGCCTGGGATATGCTCCGAACGGAGCCAATGTTCTTAACCTCTGTACGTACGCCTAAAGGATCACCCTCCTGATGTATTGAGATATTGGCATCTACGCGCAGTGCGCCCTCTGCAAAAGCAATGTGAGCATCAAAAGCCTTTTGGCCTTTGTGTCAGGCACTTACCTTCCATTTTACAGCTACACGTCTGAAGTCGCCTCAATATAAGCATCAGCTCTTTCACTAATGAAGCAGCTTCCTCGCCAGTTTCCAAATCTGGGCCAAATACCAACTCCATTAACGGCAAACCAGCTCGATTTAGGTCAACTAAACTTCTCTTCAGCTGCTCATCGTGCAGTGATTTGCCACTGTCCTGTTCCAATTGCAATTGCAATAAATTGACAGTTTTATAATAAATCTTTTTACCGGGTGTTATGACTGGAAATGAAATTAGCCCATCATTCGCGAGCGCAGCGCGTTGTTGGGTAATTTGGTATCCATTCTACGGAAATTGAAAACGTTTATATTGCATTGTGATGTGATAAGTTTAACTGCTCACTGGAAGATCTGCATAGAAGTAGTGCTTGCGATCAAACATGGACACTTCGTTCACCCGGCAGCCTAGCGCCAATGCAGTTTTAATACCAGACTCTACGCATTTTCTATTGAGAACCTTAAATAGTATATAGTTTTATTAGGATCCGCAGAGCATAAATGGTAAAAACTTACCGGCAAGGTACCTGGTATAGAAGCGTCAAAATAGGCAACTGCTGTGTTCAGAGGTGCTCCGAAGCCGGTGCCACTGCCGGAGAATAGTTTTGAGGCGCTTGCTATCTGTGCGTGCACCTCCAAACCAACCACACTCTTCCACTTCCTGCATCAAAACATACAAACTTATTAAAATGGGATGCGGAACACTCTAAACAATAAACTTGTATATTTTACCTTTTTGCCGCATTGGCCAATTTGGGTTGCGTTGCCAGTCGACGCACAATCATATAACTCCCCATTAGAAATTCTCTTTTGCCGGCTGAGACTTGATAATATGAACAGCTGAGCATCAGGTGCAATACCTATCAACAATAATAGGTATTCCCTCCACTCTAATGATTCAACTAAAAAATCGATAGAAGGTGCAACAGCTGTTTTTTATCAAGGGATCGAATTTAGTCTGCAAAGTGAATTTAGCGTAATCGTACTTTGCATTTGAGAATATATCTGCCCTCATTTATTTATAAAGAAAATGTTCTTTACATTTAGTTTAACAAAAGAAAGATATATATTGTTACTGTCTGTCAAGTCCTGATGCACATTCCCATAGTATATTCTACCAGTAGTAAGAACATCCTCAATACGAAGACCAACTGTTGAGAACAGCTGATATTGGCTAGCGTGTCACGAAACAGCCGTTTAATATCGATAGCTAGCATTTAGTTCCGATATTTATGGCACTTACGATAAATCAAAATATCACGAAGGCGAAGTGGGCTCATTGGAAGAATATGGAAAAGATGAACATTACTGCTAAACTAAGGTAGAAAAACACGCGATAACATTTTTAATAAAACATGTGAAAAAGATGAAACTAGAGGTAAGCTCAAATCTTGCATTATCCCACGCAACAGGAAGTTTGAATTCACTTGGCGAAAAATGTGATGCAAATTTTTTGTATATCACAGTTGACAACAACGACGACGAAGAAGAGAGCAAAAAGCACACGCAGCGCAGCAAAAGTAAAAAACACGACCAAGAGACCACGACAACTTCGACGACAACGACGACGACGACGACGGCTACAAAGTACTTGGAGTGGTGACCACTACCAGGTCGCTACGCCAACGTGCAGCTATAGGTTAAAGGGAGAAAAACAAAGGCTACCGATGCAAATAAGGAGCTAATGCTGAAAAATCAATCAAACAAACAACGCACCACATGCTGTCCGTTGTTGCCACTCCACATAACTCAGTCACCAATATGGATTTCGACAGGACTATCACGGGTTTGGAGTCAAATCAAACACTTGAGAATGAGGAAGCAAAGAAGAAACTTGTTGAACTTTTCACCCAAAGTAAGTTAAGGAAAGCTTTCCAATCTCATAATACTATTTGAGTTTCCCATTTAACATTATAGCTAGGGAACAATGGCCAGTGCGTTACATGCTCGATTACTATTTAAAAACTGGCTCAATGCGCATTATGGAAGTGCTGGTGAAGGCGCAGCCGCCACATGATAGCTACATATTCGATCGTTTGGACGACTGGCTCAAGCAACAACAATATCGCGTGCAGGCGCTGAATGTATTTTGTTTTATTGTGCGACGCCATCCCACCTGGCTGCACAAAATCGAAAAGCATCGCCTAATTAAGAGTATCTTCAAGCTGTTGACGGTAAGTGAATTCAATAATGTATTACGTACATGTGTCATGCATATAATCCTTCCAGCACGAAAAGGATATTGTGCCCTTAATGAGCGCTCTTCTGTGCATAATTACGCTGTTACCCATAATCCCGAACTCGGTGCCGAATTTTTTGAACGATTTGTTTGAGGTATTCGGTCACTTGGCTTCGTGGAAATTTCAGAACGTGAATAAGTTGCCAGACGATAAGGTCGTACATCTACAGTTGGGCTTGCAAATGTTGTTCCATCGACTATACGGCATGTATCCGTGTAATTTCCTGAACTATCTGTCGGAATTCATCAAGAAGGACAAGGGGAGCATTTTCCAGCATACGATCAAACCGTTACTGGACACGGTGCGTGTCCATCCGATGCTACTGACGGCTACCACTGAAACGGAAGTGAGTAACATGCGTTGGAAGGAAATGGAGCCACACGACGTGGTAATGGAATGTGCACATTTGTCGCTGCCTGTGCTGCATCCCGACTCCACACATGAGGATATCTCGACCGCCTATCCATGTAGTACGCCCAGCTTTAGTCGCATGACCTCGACCACGTCCTACGGTGAACAGCACAACAATTTTAGCAATCAGCTTAACAACCAACATCTAACTGCGGCACCTCTTAGACGTTTTGAGTCAAGTATAGCTGATACCAGCAATACACCAATCTGGAGCCCACATAACGAACTAGCACCTGCTACCGCCAGCTCGGCTATGCCGCTAACTCCCACACCGTTTATAGTGCCGCCCAGTAGCACTGCTCAGCTGCTTGTTGCAACAGGCTCCTCACCGCCAGAGGCGGCTGTGGAGGCTACGCCGGAGACTACGCCGCTGAAAGATTTACGCGACTTTAAGCAACACCAACAGCAGCAGCAGGTGCCCAACTCACATACGGTGCGAGCTATTTTTGCAAATAGTCAGCCTTCCTCTCCCATGCGCAAGGATCACCAAAGCCAATTCAACTTTCCTGACCTAAGCAAAATGCAGCCAACGGCAGAACTTCCACAGCTTACAGATCCATTGCTAACAGGAGGCCCGAATCCTTTAACGGTGACACATTCTGAGACTAAGGATCTAACTGTCAGTGCTTGTGGCGAATGCAACGAAACGGATCGCAATCTGTGTAGCGATGGGGGCCTTCATATGCCAACCAACCGTACCATTCAGCAGCTAGCCAAGGGCGTTAAGCGAAGAAATCGAATGGCCAGCTATTGCTGCAATGAAAGCAGCTTTACCACCGGCTGGCACAGCAGTGCAGCATCAAAACGGACAACAATGCCGAACTGTCCTGCGGATAACCAAATACGTCGCACTAAGTCGTGTTCGGCCTTGCCAAGTATGCAACAGCACAATGATGATGACGAAGCCGATTGTCCAACTCTGCGACAGAATAATGGCAATGGGAATGGGAATGGAGTGCATAATACCGTGCAAACACAAAAGACTGTGCTGGCTGGCACCAGACTGCAGCGTAGCGGTCGAATGCTGGCCCTGGGAACACCCAAAATCGCGACCGCCACTTCATACAAGTCGAAGGAGGTACAGACATTGGAAACGGTGCCGATACACTACGAAGAGTTTCTCTTTGAATTGTTGCGTGAGTGCAAGGATCAGCGAAACAAGCACGAAAGATGTCAATTTAATCCGCAGGAGATACTCGATCAGTACATAATGCGTTCCATACACGCGAAGGAGAGTTTCGATTCGTCGAGCAATCTCTTAACGCAGCAGGAGCAATGGCAGCTCATGTGCCTACAATTGCTATACGAACGCTATCGTCGCAGCATTCATGCCGAGCGTAATCGACGCTTGATGGGACGTAGCCGAGACAAGCGCAGCCTGGAAATGGAACGAGATCGTTTGCAGGAACAGTTGAAAAACTTTGATGTGAAGAACCAAGCTCTTGCTGCTAGAATCGACTTGGGAATTCGGCAATCGAATGAGCAGCTAAACAGCTACATCCAACAGCTGGCCGACCTCAAGTCTAAATACCAGTACGAGTTGGATCAAAAAAAGTGTCTGCGTCAGGCAAATGATGATTTGCAGACTCGTCTTAATGCCGAGATGTTGCAACGGAAAGAGTTGAACTATGAAGTGGAGTCGCTTCGAGGTCAAATATTTACCATGACCACAGAATTGCAACATGCTCAGCAGCAAGCGGATCTTGGACAGCAATACAAGCAGGAGCTGGCGCGCTTGGAGGCAGAGTTTATTATCATGGGTGAAGTGCAGGTGCGTTGTCGCGATCGACTGGCAGAGATCGATAACTACCGATCTCGCGACGAGGAGCTAAAGCTGCTCCAAGAGAGCTTCAATGCCGAAATTAAAGGTGAGTTTTGAAAATATTTAAGCTATATATTAAACTGATCGGAGCTTTCGCAACAGATCTGAAGCATAACCTAGACGAAAAGACTTCTCTACTCGAAAGCACCAAGCACAAAATCAGCGAACAAGCGATTCAATTGGGCATCAACGACAAGGTTATTGCGGAGCAGAAGCGTTTGTTGCGCACCGTCAAGGATGAATATGAGGAAATGTTAAAGGTAAGCCTCATAGCTCGCCGGCTTTTGCTGCTTATACAACTTATGCCTTTGCAGTCGGTGAATAAGAAATATGACATTCAAAAGAAGATCATCATACAAATGGAGGAAAAGCTTATGATGTCGCTGCAACACCCACAGGGTGCTGTCGGACACACAACTTGCTCGCCGGATACTGACCGAACTGGTAGGTCTACTTGTTAACGAAACCAATTTAATTTTTCACAAACATATATTATGCTTCAATTCGCAGATATCGCCTCATCCATGGAACGAAATTCGCCGCTTTCAACGTCGCTAGCATCTAGCGAGAGTCTTTCGGCAAGTCTGCGTTCCACAGAGCTGAAAAACTTGCAACAGCTGCTTGAAACGCCGGCGATAGCCGAAGTATCAAGGGCCGGCGGTACTGGCCCGAGCTCAGGCGCGGGCATCTCATATGAAGACAATGCGCGCATGTCGACAATTGACTTGGCCTCATCAGCGGGCACTGCTAGTGCCATAAACATAATGCAGGCGACAACGACGGCAGCACTGTCGCAAGAATTGAACCTGCCAACGACGTCTAATCACACACACGCCCACCCACATTTACACTTGCAACAGCAGCAAGAGAAACAGCAGCAACCGCAGCAGTAGTAGCCACCGCACAGTCAGCAGTAACAACTGCAGCATACTATATGTTTGCAACAGAAAGTACACAAGGCTGTCAATTATATACAGAGGAAATCAACAGAACTGGTCGTCGGAAGGGCAAGCATCGGCAACAAGAAATTAAATATGTTTAAAAAATAGCTGCAAATATCTCTAATTTTTTTTGTCTCCACTACCAAAAATAATTAACGTCGGATTATGAAACGAATTGTTCAGGGTTTTCGCATTCAGTTTAAAAAACTGTAACTAAAATTAAATAAAACGCAGACTCCGCGCAATAATTATAACGATTATAAACGTTTGAAATTTTAACTTGTTGGCACATTGCAATGTGTTTTGTCGTATAAATTGTATAAAAAAAGAATAAAACGAAAATAGGTTTTGATATGATGAAACATTAAATGAAAATAATTCATGAGCATATTACTTCATAGTTGTTTGATTGTTGGCGTTCAAAAAAACACCCATAAATCTTTAAATGACTAATTATTATTATTTTAGCATTTATATATACAAATCTTATAACATCTGAGCAATTACTAGATTTCAAAAATTATTCTGGCGGCGATAACTGTGTAGCATTGCCAACAGCAAACGCAGAATCTGAGCATATAGTTGGCAGCGTTTACAGAAACAGTTGGCAGCGCCAACAGCAACAGCAAACAGCTGATATTTGACCAAAACGTAGCAAGAAGAAGAACACCGCAACAATCAGGAGAAAACGCCTCAAAAACAATAAGCTATGTTGTCCCAATATATGGAGGAATTTGAACAGGTGTGTGTCGATTGATGGAATATGCTATAGGTATGCTACATAGATCCAAATTTTGTAATCTAGGAGCCTTTTGAAGTGGGCGAATTCATTGAAAGACTGACCTGGCGCACTAACAATGAGTTGCAAAATAGCGAGGACTTCAATCCGGTGGCATTACATGACACATTCATACAGACTATTAAGGATCTGAAAATACTACAGGAGAAGCAGCAAAGCAAGTGCGAGCGTTTAGAGGAGTCCCTGCGACAAGAGGAGGAGTCACATGCTAAGAAAATCGCGAAACTGCAAGAGCGACACCAAACAGCCATCGATTGGTTCGGCCAGCTGGATGAAAAGATCAACTCTGTGGCTGGCAAGATTATGCATCTGGGGGAGCAGCTGGAAAATGTGAACACACCTCGCAGTCGATCCGTCGAAGCACAAAAGTTGCTTAGCTACATGTCTGAATTTCTAATGGCCGGGCCGGTGATAGTAAATGATATATTTAGCGATCCGGTGCGCCTGAATGAAGCAGCCGACGTGATACAGAAGCTATACGCGATTTCACAGGATCTGCCACCTGGTAGTTTTGCCGAGTCGAAGCGAAAAATTGAGAAGAAATACGATGAAGTGGAGCGTAGACTTATCGAAGAGTTTGCCACGGCACAAAAGAGCGAGGACATTGAGCGTATGAAGTCCCTGGCTCAAATTCTCTCTCAGTTCAAGGGTTACACTCAGTGTGTCGATGCCTACATTGAGCAAAGCCAAATGCAGCCGTACAGCGGCAAGGATATATTCATCGGCATTGTGCCCATGTGCAAGCATCATTATGAGATCATCAAGAAGGTTTTCGCCAATCCGCAGCAAGTCATGTCCAAGTTCATACTGAACATTTATCAATTAAAACTTCATCAATATGCGATGACCAAGCTGGATGACAAGAAGGACGAAGAAAAGTATCTGCGTACGCTCTATGAGCTCTATTCTCGGTTAGCTAATAGAGTGCTAACTACCGTATTCACTAATCCAAGTAATAATTACTTATTTGCAGCACTCTAAAATTGTCCAGTGATTTGCAAGTCTACATGTCTACCATCGATGACGATCTGCTGCAAAAGCTTACACAGCAAATCTTCATGAAGAACCTTGCCGGCTATGCTGAAATAGAGCTGAGATGCCTGACAGCCAAGTGTTCAACGGAGCTGGAAAAATTTTATGCCAGCAAAAAGCATCAGAAGACACAAACCACGAAAGGTTTTCGTCGGAACATGGAGGTGCTAATTGCCACGCGAGCCAACATAAATATAGCTGCCATTGAAGATTATGGCGGCGAGACGTTTCTCTCAGAGGAGCTGGCCATTAATATGCTGCAAGAGGCTAAGGCATCCCTTAAACGCTGCAGACTGTTGTCCAGCGAGGCTGAGCTGCCTGGGAATGCCATCAAGTTAAATGATATCTTGCTACGCTTCCTCATGCATGAGCATGTTGACTATGCGCTGGAGCTGGGCTTGCAGGCAGTGCCGTTGGCGGAGGGAAAAGTATTTCCACAATTGTACTTCTTTGATGTGGTCCAAAAGACCAATATCATTGTGCATTTGCTGGACAAACTGTGCAATTCATCGGTTATACCCTGCGTTAGGTAACTACACAAGTTCATAAAACATGCGACAATACTAAATATTGTTTGAATTTGCAGTAACACACCGAAATACTCAGATTATGTATTTAAAAAACGGATATTGATGGAACAGATTGAAACTAAATTGGACCAGGGTCTGGATCGATCCATAAGTGCAGTAATTGGCTGGGTTAAGGTCTATCTGCAGTACGAGCAGAAAAAGACGGACTACAAACCCGAAACCGATGTTGACACTATCGCATCGGCCGTAAGAACACACCATAAAATTATATCAAAAACAATTATTTAATATCAATTATTATCCATATCAGGCGTGCCTCCAAGTGGTGCAGAATCTGCAACCAGTTATTGTACAAATAAAGAAGTGTGTGGATGGCGAGAATCTGCAAAATGTGCTGACAGAATTCGGAACACGCCTGCATCGCGTCATCTACGACCATTTGCAAACAATGCAATTTAATACGGCTGGCGCCATGTGCGCCATTTGTGATGTGAACGAGTATAGGAAATGTATACGTGAGCTGGACAGTCCATTGGTGACGCAGCTTTTTGATATACTACACGCTCTATGCAATTTGCTATTGGTAAAACCCCAAAACCTTCAAGAGGTGTGCACGGGCGATACTCTGGTATGTGTGCTGATATCTCTATATCGCTTTGTGTCTAATTTTACACTTTTTGGAACAGAATTATCTAGACAAGTCGGTGGTGCGTCAATTCATCCAACTTCGTACCGACTTTCGTATCATCAAGAACACCAATTATCTAAAGGGCATCATCGAGTAGCACTATTGCCAGAGGCCGATCCATTGCTGACTCACATTCCCAGATGTATCCCTTAGAATTTATTTTGTTTGTATTACTTTACATAAACATAAACATACGATCAAATCAAACAATATACCAATATTATATTATATGTGATTAGCTTATATCTTTAACGCTTCACTTTTCAATTAAAGTCAAGTGCTTCATATTTGTATCTGTACAACAGCTATCAAATTTCATTAATTGGAGATTGTCCTAAACACTGTGGGAGCGTCCCAATTGTCAATCTATATTTATCAGTGAGTAGTTTTTGTACTCGTCTCACTCCTTTGCCAGTGATTCGACAATAGCTCCCGTTCACAGCCAATAAATCAAAGTTTATTGCTTAAGTATACACAAATTATTTATTTCTGTGTGCATTTAATGTCACTCCCCTAATTGCAGATAAAAAAAAGCTACCGATTGCCACCAGTTGATGGTTAGCAAGACTTCGACAGTTAAGTCAGTCACCTGCTAGCAGTGTAGCTAAGCGTATCACACTTGTCGCGTGTCTGATTAAACTACCGCAGCATTATCGTGCGCCTTTGTTATTGTCTTAATCAATTTGCGAGCCCAGTCAAACAGTGTGCCATATATTCTAATCAAAACGATCTTGTACCACAATCGATTAAGCCATGCGCGGCTTTTTTGTTTACTACTTGAAAATACTCTGGGCTTTTTTGGTTATTAACGAATCGATCGCCAGTGTCACAAAGCTCAGCCCAGAAAATGTGTATAAGAAGATACTATCGTTGCGCTCGTTGCCGTTCGAGGATTGCGGTGAGTACTTAGATAATCTTTAGTAGCTTGGAATCGGTCGATTGTAGTGACTCTAAACAAAATATAAGCTTGGTCATGCTAAAATCTTTTTACCTTTAAATTTCTATTATTAACACTCGGATTAATTAAATATATTTTCTGTACGACTTGGCAATAATGATATAAACTGTAAAAAAAGGCTTTAAACAGAAAGTTCAAGTGAGAATTGAGTAGAACTGGAGCTATATGTACTACAAAAAAACAATATGTATGTAACTAGACTAAACCTTTATTTTAAAGTTATATGTAGCATATGTATTATGCCATATAATGCTCTCTATCTAGCAAATTTATTTCAGATTACTCATTTAATTTTGATTTACCTATACGAAAACATTTCGAAATTAAAATAATCGAAATAAATAATCAGCTAATGAAATCTTTGATGATAAAATTACTACGTTTGCCAATTTTCCGGTCACTAAATTAATACCCTATCAACATATATACATAGTAATATTTATTTACACTGATATATGTACAAAAAAATATTATGACATTAATCAGCGTCAAAATTTTTATTAACAAAGTTTCCCATTCCCAATAGAAAAAAGTAATCTGAACCGGCTTAGCGTTTGGTTTTTTCTTTTTCTTTTATTATTAATAGAAATTCTGAATAAACTAATCAATTCGTTGTGGTAGAAAAAGTAACAGCAAAATAAATCAGTTGCAACGAATATTGCCTCATATTTTTATTTAGCCCATTAATAATGACCTAACTTACTATAAGAAACTTAATTAACTTTTATGCTATTTTCTATATTACACTCGTTTAAAAAGTGAAAGCATCTTTTGGGGTTCGTCCCATATCCCCCTTATTCAAATTCTTTTCGGCGTTTAAGAGAGTACTCAATAGGTCAGGATCAGGTATCAAGCTGAGCAGCAGAATATACTGTACAGATACACATATAAATTATATGGTACATTGGGACATACATATAAAATAAAAAAATGCATTATCTTAATCCACTTTTTTACTATGTACTCAATGTAGTTGGACTATGAACAAGTACTATGCACTTGAATGCATTCAAATGCAAGGACTTTACCTGGTCATTTAATTGATTACAAACAAAGCTCTGGAATTAAGTGCCCAGATAACTTTTATTAAATTACCTAGTTTGTAAGTGCAATATATGTATATAAGAAATATATATACAAATGTACATTCAATTTCTAACTAATAATAATAATAATAGCCAATATATGGTTTAAAATTATATTTGTATGCTATAACAAACAAGGTTGTTGAACCCATTGAAAATGGGTAATCGGCGCATTTATGATAACAGGCGGAAGGGATGCGTGTATGTGTATATATTCTTCATCGACGGTTATTTTGAATGAGCTATATCCTAACGTAATGGAAATATATTTAATATTAATTAACACAATCGACATTATGGAAAAAAGCTGACGTTCATAATTTTCCTTTGCATAGCGCTGAAAGGACCTTCCATATATAGTTGACTGTCGTGCATATAAACCTATATACTATATTCTATTTACTTTATAATGTATTTAATCTGGTGGTTTTTCAGGCTCTCTGTATAATGTGAACTACCTGAACATTGAAAGCTGCTCAAAGGTGCCCTGTTCTATGACTCGCAATTCCACTGTTAAGGTTACGGTGCTCTTCGATGATAATGGTAAATATATGCTGATAACGGGGGATCATGCATTTAAAGTCTCCAATGCGCTCTCACTAAGCTCGAAGTAGTCGGAAACAGAGCCGCCTAGGCGAGGGCGACGACAATACGTATGTATTCTGTATGTACATATATACGGAAGGGTCGGGGGAGTACACAATCGACAATGAATGGGGGGAACTGAATCGTGTGAATTGCCGAAGAAGAAGAAGACTGTGGTAGCCGGCGATAATGTGCCATAAAAATAATTGATCAAATGGGTGTGTAAATCAAAATAATACCCAGTAATTTTGCATTATACGACATCATTTATGGCATATACGTAGTACTACTTGTTCGTATCTATATATGTGAATGTGTGTGCTACCAAAGATAAGTAATACCCTACTTATAGAGCATATACATATGTACATATAGACGCACTTGACTGCCATTTAGCTAGGAACGTTCTAAATGCAATCGGCGCTAGCGATATTATTGATTTCGAATTTATAAATAGACAAAATGAACCTTACCTGTGTTTTGATTATTCAGCACAAACATGTTTAATTTTTTTTTCGCAAGTTGCTTCTATTGCGATCTATAATTTAAAGTTTGAAGTGCCAAGTAAATTTGAATTTGCGTAAAAAATGGGAATAATTGCAATCTTTCATTTAAAATTTAAGATCAATTGAAGTGTTTAACTAATTAAGCAACTATAATAAATTGATATCAATAATCAGAGCTAAAGATCTAACCTTTATGGTACATCATTTGAATTTCATTAAACTGGAATCTAATCGCGCTTAAATTGCAGGTAATGGCGTTTCGTTCTTGAAGCACGAGGTGCGTTGGGTTTTCACATACTTGAAGACCAAGGCGGCCATATCTCCAGATCCTTGCGATGGCGATCACAACTGCATATTGAATGTAAATGAGAGCAAAAGTTATTGGGCCAATATCTATGTGAATCCAACATTACCCGTGGTATGTGCGATAATAATTAATATAATTGTATAATCCAAGAATCTTTATTTATTCCGTATTGTAATTTTCTTACAGATGCGGGGCAGTATGCTATGGGAGGCTAAAGATGAAAACAATAAAAATCTCATTTGCTTTGAGGTGCCCGTTGTGATTACTGAATGACAACAAACGCTTACACACACATAGGCGTAGATATACCGTATATCTGTGTGTTTGTGCAATGCAGATGTACATACATATTTATGATACTTGTGTAAAATATAATAAAATAATTGGTGCATGCAAAAACAATAGCAATCATTAGTGGGGCACCAAGAACAACTACACACAGGCACACAGCTTAACTCACACGCACACATGCGTCCTTTAGTGATACTTTGCATGAATGAGTACTGCAGGAAGAAGTAGGAGCAGAGCAGAAACATAAATAATGCGATCTTTTGTTTTTGGCACCGAGCAGCGCTGCGCTGCCAGCGGCCAAACGAAGAAGCTACGACACAATTGGAGCATGAGCGAGCGTTGCGAGAGCCGACAGCAGCGAACGAGCGGCAACGAGCGCGAACGAGCTGCTACTCAGCAGCCGAGCGCACACGAAGCATGTTCGGCCGTTCAGCATCCAGATGCAATGCAATTGGCTGTTCGCTCAGTGTGTCAGTCAGTCTTTGTGGGTGCAGCGCGACGGTCGTGTGAGCACAAAAGTTCTAATTAAGGAGTTGCCGCAGTCGCAGTCGCAGTTGCAGTCGTAGTCACAGTAACGTTAAACGCAAAACCGAACAGATTAAATCGAAGCTTCATTAGGTAATAACGTGCAAGAGACGATCAATCGGTCATAGCCAAAAGCCCTGCGCATTGTGTTATTCGGGGTGTTGGCGTTCTGGGTGGTGGTGTTGGAGCAAGTGCGCCAGTTGAGCTCGTGGTTTGTGGTGGTTGCCAGAATCATTTCACTTATTGTGCCTCAAGTGTAAGTACAAAAACAAAAACAAAACGCACTGCTCTGATGTGCTCTGCTCCGCTCTGGTATGCTCTGCTCTGCTCGTGTGCTTGCCATTTGCGCAATTTGGTCGGCGTAAAATGAGATTGCCTTCGTGCTAATTGCGGCAATCGGTGGGGGTAAGTGTGCAAGTGGGCCGGACCGGGGCGGCGGGTAGCTGGGACAGCTAAAGATGGGGATGCCATGGTGACATGCAACGCCACACAGGCAATGGCCATGGCAGGCAACACTTACTTGTGAGCGCTTCATGTCCATCAGCTCTGTACTGCCTGCCGTCCATGGCAAAGTCTACGCCGTCATACCCTTTGCAACGGAAGTAATGCGGCACCCATTGTCATATCCCATTGTATCCAATGCCTCGAACCTGAACTTTGTGAACAACTGCAAAATTAGCGACTAGAATTTGAAACCTCATGTTCCAGCCGCTCGCTCGTTCGCCTGTGCACATGCTCAGCTGAGTGTTAAAGACCCATAAATGGCAAATGAATCCCTCGGAGTGTCCAATGACAAATTGGCGCATGTTGAAAAATAAAACAAAAAATCGACAACTTAAACTGATCTCTTTATTATTATTCATAAACTTAACGCTCTCAAGTTATCGCAAATTTTAAACTCAACCCTGAAAGTTGTAAATCTATATCTAATACTCATTAAACGGAGCATCACTAGGTAAACAGGTATTACTCTATGGGAAATAATGAATTAACTATATAAATCATTTACACTTGCAGTTAACTTTGTGGTTAGCTGATAGAGAATCATTAAAATATAAAATAAATAGTAAATAACGAAATTAATTTGTGTCTAGGATTAAATTTTTTACCTTGATTGCAAACAATGAGGAAATAGCTGTTTTAACCATAAAGTCTTTTGACTGCATTCCCAGTTTAAGTGTTTTACAAATTGCGAATTGTAATAAACATTTTATGTACTTTTTCTCAGGCTATAATATATATCCAAGCATTTTCTTTTAGTAGAATACATAAATTTTCTGAAACTTTTATTTAAATGGAAAGCATAATTATAATATTTTAAAATATATATTTTAATGCTTAAAATAACGACTCATACAAATTTCAAATATTGTTGTGGGTCAGTTTAATGTGAGGCTGTAATTTATATTATTATTACAAATCATATTATATATATCTTTTAGTTCATTAATATTTTTGTATACATTTTAAGGATAATTTATGTTAGAGGGTTATACATAGTTAATATTGTATATGCCCAATTAATCAAACATTTTGCCTTGTAGAGCATCAGTTCGTCATGATGGGCCATAAATCTGAGTCCAGCCTCCCCGCTTGGCAGCTTACTTTGCTTTCCTTGCGTTTACTTAAACGTAAACACTTTTTATGTGCGGCTGCCGCTGCACTTGAGCAGCAGCAACAATGCGATGTTGTTGCTGCTGTTGTTGGTCAAAGTGTTAAACGATTTGCATCATATTACACACTGCTGTTGATGCTTCGCTGGCTGGCCATTGTCGCCAGTGGCAGTGCTCTCAGTCGCTGCTGCAGTTGCAGCCTCTGGCGCAGCTATTGTGCTAAACTCTGGAGAACGCAGACTCTGAGCCCGGGGGCACATAACAAAAGCTACAACAGAGGCAACTACCACCAACGATTTATCATAGCAGCAGCAGCAGCAACAACAACAGTAACGTCAACGAAATCGATCCGGATCTTTTAGATCGCTGTTATATGTATATACATACATACATATATAAATACATGTGTGTGTGTGTGCTTTGATATGTACATACATATGTATGCGTGTGTGTGCAGCATAAAAAGATAATTTTGAGTTTTTGAATCGTTAAAAGCAATTAATTGCCACTACACAGCAGCAGACCAGACATCCAGTCAGCCAAGCAGCCAACCAGGCAGCCATCCTGGCTGGGAACATCGACTAGCCTCATCAGTGCAGTCCATTCCATATGACAGAGCTGCTTTTGCCCGCTTTACTGCCCAATTTTGTTGCAAAATTTTGCGTTCCGCGGAACTTGGTGCATTTCATCTTGTTGTCATCAGCAATGTGGTTGTTGTTGTTGTTGTTGCTTTTTTGTTTTTGGTGCCGCCGCGCCGATCGTCGCACATTCATTTGTCGCTTAATGTCCCTCAATAGTGGCTGTGTTCTCGCCCCGCGCCCCGCCCGCTCTACCTCTCTCCGGTGCTCTTCCTTCTCCCATAGTTTGTTGATGCTGCTCCCAGAGTGTCTGTATCTGTAGCGTCTTGGCATGTGCGGCATCTGCTGGCTGGCTGGTTGGCTGGCTGGGCTTCTGTGATGAGATCTCCGCCCGGCTATATTGTGGCTACAGTGTGTGCGTACGGGCTTATGTGTGTTTGTGAGTCTGCTTGCGAATCTGGTGACATCCACTTGCATGCGCACATTCATCGTAGCCACAGTTTTCATGGTTTTATTTTGCTTTGCTGCACATTCACACGCAACAAAACTCACACACACACGCACACACACATACGCACGCAACCGAAGATGGGGCACCATAAAACATTAGTTTCCCATTTGCGTGCTAAATACCCTATGTGGATCGCAGGCTGCATGCCAATTGAAAAAGGTTGTCTAAGCTGCCAATTCCGAGCAATTGGCAGATCGCTTTGGAATGTCGTTTAGACGGACCAATGATCCCTCAAGTACCAGGAATGACAGCTTTTAGCTGTAATTTAAGTAATATCTTAAGACATCACTGGGAAGTGAGTTTCTTAAATGAACTCGATGTCTCTGTTTATGCTGTTACGAGTATATTAGTCAAAATAGTAGAAAGGCCTAAATACCTTAAATAGGATTCATTTTATACTGAATATAGATTAAATAAATACATAAAATCAATATAAATGAATTTTAGGGAAATGAGATCTAATTGATAATTCACTTATTTTTCAATCAGAGTTTTTTGTTAATATATATTTTTATATATATTCAGTCGTACTTAAATTTAGTTTATTTCAAAACTCTCCACTCCAAGTAGAGATAAAGTAGTTTCTATATATGTGTTAATATATCGAAAGTATTATTTTTTATTCAACAAACCTCATCTATGCTCTGGTTTGCTCAGATTACATTCATATTGGCTAACTACCAAAGTAGTACTACTTGTAGAATATAATTTATGCTAAGAACTGATTAAATTTCTCTAGGGTATTATTGCAGTCAGTAGTGGGTAATTTTCGAAAAAACAAATATCGCAGTTTGTCTGTCTGTCCGTTGCGTTCATGGCACGCACCGTGATGCGCGCTTTGAAGTCCTGTCAAGAGCTTGAGATACATTTATGTATTTTTGCATTTTCATTGCTTCCACCTTGAATGGAGCTGGGACGATGGCTAGCGGGGCGCAAATGCAAAGAATGATTAGTTAGTTGGTCAGGCAAAATGGAATAAACCGGTTCCGCCGATCCTTCAGCATAATCAACATACATAAATGCTGTTAATTATGAATGCACGGAATGCGTTAAGTTTAAGCAAGAAATATGAACAGAGTAAGTGAGATAGAGAGAGAGAGAGAGAGAAAGAGAGAGAGAGAGAGCGAGAGAGATCGATAGAGAAAGAGATAGTGAGAAATACATATATGTTGCAAACATTTATCGCAGATTGGCATCAAGTGTTCAAGCCACCCTAAAGATCAAGATGCTGATCATGCTGACGCTGGCGCTGGCACTGCTGGGCAGCCGTGCCTCGAATGCAACCATATCCATGTATCAACGGCAACATCGCGACAGCACCGACATCAAGGAGAAGATCATGGAGCTGCAGTGCCTGGCCCGCTGCGAGAATAGCACTAAATTGCAACGATGTCTTGATCAGTGTAAATTGGAGCTGCGGCGCGCACCCAGAGCTGGCAGCTGTCCCAGCAGCTCGCTGCTCGCGCGGCATGCGCGACTGCTATGCTTGGATAATTGTGCCTACGACAACGACTGCATCGAGGTGCACAAGTGCTGTGCATCCGCTTGCGGCCCCATCTGCACAGAGCCAGTGGGCGTGCGCAACTCCAGCCAGCTGCCGCCCATACCGAAGATCTTGCGCTACAAGCTGCCACGCAGCCACAAGGTGGAGCTGACCATTGAGTCGTCGCTGCTGCCCTATTACTTCCATGTGGAGGTCCGATCGCACATCGGACGTATCTTTACGCCACGCAAGATGGGCATGTGGCAGTCGCAGCAGGTCGAAAAGATACTGGAGACGACGGACGGGCGCAGCAAATTGTAGGTACTCACTCCATGATCATATCGAAGCCACATAAACACATTGCCCTTGTTCATAGCATGGAAATCTTCTTCAATATACGACCGGGTCGCTGGTATCAGGTGCGTGTGGCAGCTGTGAATGCATTCGGATTCCGCGGCTACTCCCAGCCCTCACATGCCTTCACCCTGCCCAGTAGTAAGTTCGAGTTTCTATTCGTAATCTAACTGGCCTAAGATATGCACATTTCAGACCCCAAACCGCCCAAGGCGCCCGCAGCTATGAAGATCACTTCCCAGCAGTACGACGGACGACGCTATATGAGCGTCAAGCTTGTTTGGTGTCCGTCGAGGTCGAATCTGCCGGTGGAGAAGTATAAAATTATCTGGTCCCTATATGTAAGCAGCAAGGAAGGCTCACTCATAACACACGAAGCCTATGTCAAGGACGTAAGTCTCCTGCGATCAAATTCAATTAGAGTTTCCAATTTAACTATCGGATTTACACACTTGCAATCAAATTGACTTGCAGACGCATCAGTTCGAGATTAAGAAACTGCAGCCCAACTCCTCCTACTACATACAAGTGCAGGCGATGTCCATAAGCGGATCGCAGCGCCTGAAATCGGAGAAAAAGTCGCTGCTGCACAATACAACGTTGCCGATGCATGAACTGGAGTACGCCGCACCACTTGACTGCAGCACACACCACAGCAGACACAAGTACCATCCCAGCCCTAGCCCCAGCCACAGTCTCAGTCTCAGTCATAGTCCCACAGTGGAGACCAGCTCCACGCCAGCGATAAACAATAATGAAGGCAGCACCTCCTATGAAGTACGTTTCCGTTTGAACCGGAAATTTGGCATGATTGTGCAAATTTTGGGATTTCAGCCATACAAGGAGAAGTAAGTGTCAGAGGCCCCCCTTTGGCTCCAGCTTTCATTCGCGCCGCATTGTACACATGTTATTCATGTTATTTTGATTGTTTATAAACAATTTGCTAAAATATGTATATTATTTGATTTCAGGGTATACGAGTTGTGCCCCCAAGAAACGAATTGCGAGCAGCGAGAGTTCAGCGCGATCCGTGTCAAAGTAAGTACAATGCAGGGATTGGAGGTGGAGGAGGGGAGTCGATGCCACGAGCTAGGTTCGTGCCGGTCCAATCATTGCGAAACAAACACACACAAATCACTTGTCATTTTCGGTCAATTGGATTTCGGTTGCCGCTGAGGTTTTAGTTGCATTGCCGATTGACACGTGAAACACGTTTTCGAACAGGGCGCCATGAACGTGGTCCGATTACTGCACCGAACCCATTAGCATGTGTCAGTGACGTACTTTCCTAGGGGATAGGCATATTAGAAAGCGCTACACCAAGAAATTAGCGAATCGAAAATGTTACGAAATATGAAGATTTTACAAACAACATGTTTCTAAGAAGAAAAATTTGATATTTAAAAATATATACATATATGTGAATACACATATGTATATATAAATGGTAATCCAAAGAGGTCCCATCTGTTCCTTTTAGACCAAGTATTACGTAAAATGTAATCCACAAATATTTGCTTCATTGCAGAAGGATTCACAGGAGTTTAGCAAGTTGAAATTCAATACAACGTACGTGCTGAAAGCGTTGCGGCCAAGTCAAAATTCCGTACTGGAGGACAATGGGCATCCATTTACATTCACAACGCCCAAGTGCGAAAGCTTTCGTAATCGCTTTCCCAAAATGCAAATCAAATGTGGCGACTAAGTGATGCGGAATCAATGCAGCCTAAACAGATCGGACGATCGGACATCTGGTTGGGTTTGTGACATCTTACAGAACAATGAGATTAAACTAGCTTGTAAATAATTGTATGTACCGACTTAACTTTTTTACTTATTGTTAACGCTAAGTGTGCAAAATAACATTGAATGTTTCACGTGGAGAAATCAGATTTATTTGAAAAGATCTTTGAACTCTTGTAAGTCTCGCTGATGTTGGTCCATCGCTTGCATGCTGGGCCCGAGATGTAAAGCGCCGGGCAATTTACTAGCATCCAGCTTGATGCCTAGCTCAATGAGTGCCGCTATGAGCCTTGTGGTGTACAACACAGGGCCACCCACCAGATGTAAGAACTCATAGTGCTTCTCTCGACGCGTGCTAAAGAGAATCCGCTTGGATACATAGTCTCCATAGTTGCTGATCCGTCCGACACAAACGTAGCGCTTGAGAGATGGTGCATACACCTCTATGCTGGCTCTCAAACTCTCGGAAGGCGTTAGGCTGCTTGCTGGAACGTACACAATACGAAAGGGCACATCGAGTGCTTTGTAAAAATTGATGACTAGATTGAGCACCTGTTCCAGTTCTGCATCAGCTTCGTCAGCCGTTTGGGTTGCCACAAAACTCTGCACCGCGTTCGTTTGTGTGGCTGTATAGAGGCTTGGAGTAGGTCCATTGACCAGACCTTCCTCGCGGTTATAGCTGCGCCCGCAGGCGACATACCGCAGCGGCAGCACTGAGGGATAAACGCTCAGCTTGGTCATGGTGCCCAGAAAACTTTCGAATGCGCCACCGCCTGTTAGATAAGCCATATTTAGTTTGTTCAACAAATGTTCCTCGCGCACCAGATGGTATTGGCTCAGTGGTGTCGCATTCGCCTCCAGCAGCACACAGCGCACAAAGTCGGGATTGCAGGTCTGTATGAAATCGCCGTGCGTTATAAAATAGCGTGCCATAGCCTGCATAGCGTCCACATCGAAATGAGCCGCCTGCTCCATCATGTAGTAGCGATTGTTGTCCAAGAAATGTATAAGATCTTTACGATCCAAGTGCATTGCCACCGGTGCAGCAGTCGGTGGAGGTTTATGCCTATAAATGAGCTTTTCTTCATCTGTTTGTGGACAATGCGCATGCAAAATATTGGGTAGATGCAAGTAGTCATGGATAAAATCATCTTCGATCGGATATAGTTTTTGCTTTAACGATTTCACTTCGTTGCGCAACTCTTTGCCACGCGCTCGTAGTTTGTCCAGCAACTCCGATGTACCGGCCGATTTCGAAAGCAATTTTAGCTCCTTGGTAATTTTTTCACGTTCATTCTCCAGTTGTTGTAGTTGGTCATGATGAATCTGGTATGTTGCATATTTCGCGAGCACCAATTCAAGATCGATGCTCAAGCCCCGGCTAGCAATGCTTTTTTGTAAAGTCACTTTGTCGCGAAATGTGCCGGTAAAGTCCAAAAATGGTTGCAAGGTTACATAGTTTTCGTTTGCCTTATCACCAGTTATGTAGAGAGCTGATATGTGCCGCTTCAGAACGAAGCATTGTCCTACTATATTACGTAGTTTTATCATATGAAATTTATGTTTTGTTGTTACAAAAAAATAAACCAAGTCGTTATCCGCTGTTGTTTTACTTTGACAGTTCGGCGCAGCTGTTTCTTTATGTAAACATGGTGGATATTCTGTTAAGTGTATGCTGCTAAACGGCTGACCGAAATATGTTATTTTCTAACAGTTTAGGGGCAACTGTTATACATTAGCAATTGTCGCGCCATCTAGCAGACATTTTTCAAAGTATAATGTTTAAATTTGCAGAAAACAATATACAATCGTTTTCATGTTCGTCTCAATGAATTCCAAGAAAATTGAAATATATGAAAAATTGGGTAAAGCATATATGTACATAAGTAGATTTAGAATATAAAACACAACATTTAATAAACACATTTTGTAAGTAATAACAGTGGGTAAAAATACAGATGTTAACAAATATTGAAACTAATCACATATTAGTAAATGACATAAGGTAATTCATGAGCAAACTTTTATCTGGATTTAAGGCACATTAAAGCAGCCCATGTTTGTGGCTAATACTTTGCAATCAGTGTTGCATGATCAGATGTCAGTCATTTCTTTCCAGATTTGCGGCAAATGAAGCTGGAGGTTTAAAATTCATGACTTCTTTGTAAATAAGCTCCTTCCACTTTTCTAATGAAAAGTCTTTTTCCTCAAAGCTTTGATCGTACAAGGGCGCCGTTTGCTCATCACTTGGGTCTGCATACTTCTGTAAGTATGGATGAGCGAGGGCCTGCTCGGCTGTTATGCGTTTATCCGCATCCAGTTCCAACATCTTCTCGAGTAAATCGATAGCCAAAGGATTGGCATTCTTAAAAACAACCTTAAAATCCTTTCGTTTAGTTGGCGGCAGCGAGTTAATATAGTTTCGGGCGTTGTCAGATGAGATCTTCTTCATGAAATCGTCAGGCGGTGTGCCCAACATTTCCATGATCAAATTGAGCTGATGTATGTGGTCTGTACCTGGAAAAAGGGTGCGTCGGGTGATAAGTTCAGCCATGATACATCCAACGGACCAAATGTCGACAGTTTGAGTGTAATGCATCCAGTTGAGCATGATTTCGGGAGCGCGATACCAGCGAGTGGCTACATAACCGGTCATCTCGAACTCAGTTGGTCTCGCCAACCCAAAATCAAGGATACGAAGCTCGCAGTCCTCGTTTACAGCAATATTGCACGGCTTCAGATCTCGATGAATAACGCCAGCGCTGTGTATATACTTGAGACCACGCAGTATTTGATATACCAGGAACTGCACATGATCATCGGATAGGTTCTGCATTTTTATAATGTTGTTCAGGTCCGCACCCATCAGGTGAGTTACCAGGTAAACGTTTTGAAATTCCTCTAAAGTTGCGTCAGGTGGATGCGGATGAAAAATGTCCAATAGGCCGATAACATTTTCGTGATCCATATGCTTCAATAGCATTAGTTCCCGATATGCCCGCTTGGCGTGCACCGTTGATTGAAAGGGACGAGATAACTTCTTAATGGCGACGTCAGTGTTGGTACCACGAATTCTGGCCTTGCATACTTGTCCATATGCACCAGAGCCCACTGGATGCAGCTGTTGATATATTTCTGGAACTTCCCATTCTGTACGATTTATATCCAACTTGTAAAACTTTTGCGTTTTACGGGAACTCATTTTAACAATGGCTATAGTGAAATATAAAACTGATTAGGCTTATCTCGACTTTTCAGTCAGCAATAGAGAAAAATCACCTCGAACAGCAAGTTCCAAACATTGAATGCATATTGTGACCAATTCATGGGTGGCGATACACTCATCCCCACAAATTCAAAGTCTGGTCCGAATCTGCAATGCGCTACATCTGCCTTTTGTCTGATGTGCATATGTGTAAATTAACTTTATGGAAGTTTATATACCATGTTATCGAAGGGATTCCAATAAAGATGCATGTATTAAATAATTATGTTCTTCATAGAAAGATCAGAAGACAGTAGCTAAAAACAAAATAGGTGTCAGCATAGTCGTTGTTGTCTCATTAATTTTTAATTATACAAAACAATAGCAATTAAGTCAATCGATACATCGATAAGTTTATTCTAGCGTTGCCAAAGCATATTCAAAGAAAACAGCTGATCTAAGTGTAAACATGCCTAAAAATTACATGAAACGGCTCTCAACTCGCTCTTTCTCTCAACTATAATACTTGTTAAATGGGTTTGTCCATGGTAGAAATATTCTCTATGTATGTCTATAAATAATTAAATTCAAAACAGGAACTAAGATATCAAAAGCGCCTGCGCGTATTACCATATACTTATCAAAAGCAAAAATCTAATCTCGGCGTAAAAGCTGAATTATTAGGACTGTGCTTTTTGCCTCAAGTGCAGTTGGTTATAGAAGCCGCACTGGAACGGAGTGTGCCAATTCGCTCTTCAAGTTATAACTAAAAAAATCAGTAAAGTAAGTAAAAAATTCAATTTATTTATATATGTTTATATTTCATACACCAATGATGGAACATAATTATCGTTAGAGAAAGCGGAACAGTTAAAAATCGGATGTCATTCAAAACACTTCTCAGGGGGCAAACATTGACCTTTGGAGCTGCTTTTAATCTGTGCACAGTGCTTTCCGAAGATAGCAAAGTTTACAAATCTATAAACTTAAGAAAATTTTTTTTTAGTAACTTTCAATCTTCGATAAGATTAAGCAAGTTCAAAGTGTATTATCATAAAGAAAAAAATATATATACTAACAATTTAATTTATTCAAGGGTTGCTCTAATCAAGAAATCACCCCTACCTAAATAAATATTAATTGCATGTTTTTTTTTTAGTTCATAATGACTTCTAAATTGTTGCCCGGTAATATCGTTTATGGAGGCCCAATACCCGTCCGGGAGGCCCAGGAGTATCGCTCTTTAGGACAGTTAATAATGGATAGATACAAGAGTTTTGGCGATCAAACGGTCATGATTGATGCTGTCAGCGGCATTGAGTATACCGGAAAGTTTTTGTATGACTCGATTGTAAGACTTGCACAAATTCTCCAGAAACTCGGCATAAAGCACAACGATGTTGTTGGGCTGTCCAGCGAAAATAGCGTGAATTTTGCCATAGCCATGTTTGCTGGATTCGCTGTGGGTGCGACTGTGGCGCCATTAAATGTCACATATTCTGAGCGCGAGGTTGACCATGCCATAAATTTGTCGCATCCAAAGATCATATTCGCCTCAAAGATCACCGTTGACCGCATCGCAAAGGTGGCCAAACAAAATAAGTTCGTCAAAGCAGTTATTGCGTTGAGTGGGTCTTCCACAAACCATCCAAAAGTATATTCCTTCACGGATTTGATGAACAGTGACAAGTATAAGACGAAACCAGATTTCACTACACCAGCGGCAAACAAAACCGAGGATGTGGCACTAATTGTATGCTCCTCGGGTACCACCGGTCTGCCTAAGGGCGTTCAGTTGACCCAGTTTAATCTATTGGCTACGATCGACTCTCAAATGTAAGTCTATTGATTTTTTTAAGCTTATCTTTATTTAAAAAAAAAAAAATGGATTTTATCGCCTTTATACACAGTCAGCCAACTATGATACCCTTCAACGAGATCACTCTACTTACTGTTATTCCGTGGTTCCACGCTTTTGGCTGCCTGACACTAATCACAACGGCTACGATGGGCACTCGACTAGTATATTTGCCCAAATTTGAAGAAACTCTGTTCCTTTCCGCCATTGAGGTAGCTATTCCACTGTCAATATTGAGTAAAGTCAAACTATAATCCAGCTTTAAACCTTGCAGAAATACCGTGTCATGATGGCGTTTATGGTGCCACCACTAATGGTCTTCTTGGCTAAGCATCCGATTGTAGACAAGTACGATCTGTCCTCGCTAATGGTTTTACTTTGTGGCGCTGCGCCGCTCAGTCGTGAAACTGAAGATCAGATCAAGGAAAGAATTGGTGTGCCATTCATTCGTCAGGGCTACGGACTGAGCGAGTCTACGCTGAGTGTCCTAGTACAGACCGATGACTATTGCAAGCCAGGCAGCGTTGGCGTACTCAAAGTTGGCATCTATGCCAAGGTCGTTGATCCGGACACTGGCAAAATATTGGGACCGAATGAACGTGGCGAGCTTTGCTTCAAGGGCGATGGCATTATGAAGGGTTACATTGGCGACAGCAAGTCCACACAAAGCGCCATTCGGGACGGCTGGTTACACACTGGTGATATTGGCTATTTTGACGATTCTCTCGAATTCTTTATTGTGGATCGCATTAAGGAGCTTATCAAATATAAGGGTTTCCAGGTACCGCCAGCAGAAATAGAAGCGCTGCTGCTAACCAATGATAAAATCAAGGATGCTGCTGTCATTGGCAAACCGGATGAAGAGGCTGGCGAACTCCCAATGGCATTTGTGGTCAAACAGCCGAATACCCAACTCACCGCGGAAGATGTGATCAATTTTGTGAACGAACGTGCGTCGCCTGCAAAACGTCTGCGGGGCGGCGTAGTTTTTGTCGACGAGATACCAAAAAATCCCAGTGGTAAAATATTGCGCCGTATCCTGCGCGATATGCTTAAGAAACAAAAATCCAAATTGTAAGCCTCACAATCCATGGAATCACGCTCAGCAAACATCGTATGTGAGGCTAGGAAAATAATTTTATTCAGTGAAGGGGTTTTTTATACGTACGCTTTACTATTTTAATTCCAAACTTTATCTGTATCGCTTCATTTCGTTATATAAAAATACACAGATTGTGGTTTTAAATATATATATATATATATATGTATATATATTTATATTTATACTTGTCTGTATTTGGCTTTTTTAAAGTTTTGTATTTTATTTAAATCTAAATAAAAACTATTTCCATACATACACACATATTTGGAATCGTGTTACTACCTACGAATTAGTCCGTAATGTACACACACTTATCGCGTTGCTGTAATGTGATCATGCAATATATGAAATTCAACTATGTATATAGCCACACGTTAATTACACTTGAAGTCTGTCTGAGCTATCAATAACAAGTTACTTACATA